AGCGGAAACAGCCTTCTCTTTTAAATTATTTTCCAAACAAAAAAATATCGTCAACAGAGGTAAGTGATTCAAATGAGCCAGTAAATGTTTCCTAAACAGCAATACCACGAGCAATACCACAACTCAATGTAATTTGTGATGATAATAAACAAAATAATATAACATCAGATTTAGTTTTCGATAATGATATTGGTAATTTTATTGGTAAAAAACTTGACGACCACCCAAAATGTAGACTGTTGGAAAACCCTTGGAAACCACTGAAAAACTTTGAGTATCCATTCTCCATTCACAAAAAAAAAGAAAAGAGGAAAAACGTTTTTTAAGAAATAATCATTTTGACCAATATCCGTGGCTAATATATTCTGTATCAAAATCTGACTGTTTCTGTAAATATTGTACACTTTTTTTAACTCACAATAAAGGYGGAAAACAAAATACTGAAGAATTGAAAAAACTTGTAACATTACCACTCAKTCAATATTCAAAATTACTTGGTAAGGATGGATATTTAGAAAAACATAATCAAAATCATTACCATCAGGATGCAATTTTAAAATCAAGTGACTTTTTAAAAWCTTACAACTCACCTAATAAGCAGGTTAATAATATTCTAAACAGTGAACGTTTAAGACAAGTTCAAGAAAACAGAAACCGGTTWAAACCTATAATAGAAACTATAATTTTTTTGGGACGCCAAAATATACCTTTCAGAGGGCACCGTGAMTCAGGACAAATAATATTTCATGATAATGAAGACTCTAAAAATTTAACTRATCCAACTTATTCTATTGTGAAGAATGAAGGTAATTTTCGCGAACTTTTGAAATACCGTATTATGTCTGGTGATACAAAATTGAAAAATAACTTGCTTAATTTTAATTCAAAAGCTAGTTATATTTCTCCAATCATCCAAGAAGATCTGATTAAATGTTTTAAGGAAGAAATACTATCGTTTATATTAGATGAAGTAATTAATACAAATCAATTTTACAGTATTATCTTTGATGAAACRACCGATGTGTCTCATATATCACAAATGAGTTTAACTTTAAGGTACATTGATAAGAAAAATAACATTTATGAACGTTTCGTTGGTTTTATCAATTGCCATGATACATATTTTAATAAAAACCAGACTGCCATTCCAAATAATGATTTGTCAGATACATTGATTGATGACCATTTATCTAAAGAACCGAAGCTAACAGGTGAATACATTATTTATTTAATTGTATTATTTTAATTAAAAATCTAATTTACCTTGATTTTTTCAGGAAATGTACTTGGAAATATAGTAGTATCAGAGTTAAAATAAATGTCACTTAACCTTAAAAACTGTATAGGAATTAGCACGGATGGTTGTTCTGTAATGACATCAGTGTTAAGAGGAGCTGTACAAGAAGTCCAGAAAAGCTGTCCAAATGCTATGTACAGCCCTTGCACTAATCATGCTCTAAACTTATCAATTTCTAAATCTTCGAAAGTCCAAATCGTTAGAAATACTATGGGAATTCTCCAAGAAACCATTTCATTTTTTCATTTATCTTCCAAAAAGAATTCCATCTTGAAAAATAACCTTAAAAGTGCCAAAAGTTCTAAGACATCATTAACCAGTTTGTGTGTTACACGTTGGGTAGAACGTCACACTAGTATAATAGACTTTGAAACCAACATGTCAGAAATTATAGAAAATCTAACACATATATCTCAATGGACAGATCAAGTATCATCATCTAAAGCTAACTCATTACTCCTGAGTTTGTGCAATTGTGAATTTATTATAACATTGTACATATTATCAAATATCCTCAGTATTACACTAGCAGCCAGTAAAATGTTACAAGGAGTTAATTTAGATGTAAGTGCTGCTTCCAGCTGTATTACCAGTATAGTACAAAATTTAGAAGATAAAAGATTAAATGCTGAAGAATATTTTAGTGAAATATTTCTTGAAGCTAAAACTAAAATGATTGACTTAGACATTGAAGTCAAGTTTCCAAGATTAACAAAAAATGAAAATAAAAGGGCCAATACTCCTGCAAATATACCAGAGGAATATTACCGGAGAGTTGTGTACATTCCTCTAATTGACAATATTTTAGAAGACTTGAGATCAAGATTACTAAATAAAAAAACAACAGCTATTTTTCAGTTGATTGAATTTATTCCAGCTAACATAATCAACAAGTCTTCACTCAATGTCAAAAAAATGATTGATACAGTAATTGAACATTTTATATTTTTGGATATAAACATTAACATTTTAAAAGGAGAAGTTGATTTATGGAAATCAAATTGGATTTCCAGGAAAAATGAAGGTAAATACTAATTTATTAAATACAGTTTGCATATTGATTGGTAAAAATCACATATTTTTTATTTAAAATTATTTTGAGGTCTTAAAATACCAGAAGATGTATTAGAATCTATTGATGAATGTCATCCAGTCATGTTTCCTACAATTAGACAGGTTTTAGTAGTATTAGCAACATTACCAGTAAGTATCGCATCAGCAGAACGCAGCTTCTCTACTTTAAGRAGGTATGCATGTATATTTTGCTTTTCTTTAAGTTAGAAGAAAATAATTTTGRTAAAAAGCAGGGCTTAGAACTTATGTGGTTTAAAATATACTAAATATGCATGCATTTATGCACTCTAAAGAGCACAAAATATATACATATAGTATGAGCAAAATCAGTTTAGATTTATTTTTACTACTAGTTATTATTTATGACATAACTTAACTATAGTTAAAAATGCTATCATATTTATTTAATTTCCGCTATTTAGTATTACTTTACTTAGATAGTCTGATTTAGAYATTTAATTGATTTATTTATTTAATTCTGTGATTATTTTTATAAATTTGTCCTCCTTTTTTGCTTTGCATTAATCATAACTCCTTTGGCTTTTGGCTGTTTGCTTATTGCTTAATGCTTTCTGAAATATGTTACACCAGGTTAAAAACATGGCCGAGAAGCCAAATGTCCCAGAAAAGGTTGACAGGTTTGGCTTTAATGAACATACATAGAAATATTGATATTGACACATCAAAAGTTATTGAACGATTTTCAAAGACAAAAAGGAAATTGGATTTTGTTATTTAATATTATTTTATTATTAATTATTATATATTTAATAAAACTATTATTATATTATGTCGTTATTATAATATGCTTTTATATTTATATGTACCTATGTCCTATGTCAAGTTATTTTATTTGATATACTGTTGATGTTGTTTACAATAATTAATGTTATGGGTTATGAAAGTGGGTAGAATCAATTATTGAAGTTTAAGCAAGCGAAACGATCGAACAATTTTGATCCGCCACTTTATTAATAATCTGTACACTATCGTTTATGTACAAATTTTTTTATAAGAACCTATGATTTGAGTTCAAATTTCGCCCCCCCCCCCTGGAAGAAGAGCTGAATACGCCCCTGCAAACGATGCTACCAAGAAAATTGTTAAAAATACCTCAATTTTAAACTCTTCGTGCAAAGATCATTACATGTACATAAWAGAGCTACTTTTCAGAACCAAAATTTATAAAGAATGCAAATGGATTACATCAAAACTTCATAACAAAGAAATTCAACAGGCGGATAAATTAAAGATATTCCGAAACAATTAAAACATGTTTCATACTTAGAATTAGTAGACTTAATGATATTTTTATAATTAAAAAAATCTAAAATCCCATAAATTTTCTTTCCGAGTACCTTTTTAATTATTGTACCAATATATTGTACTGTGTCATTACGATTAAAATGTTGTTATCCTAAATTTGTGTTTATTATAAAATAAAAAAAAAAAAGGTAATAAATAATAATAATATGTTGTATAACCTCCTCAAATAAAAACCAAAATAAATACAGTCATGTAAAATAATAATATAAATATAAAATGCTGATATACCGACCCTATAACTATAATTTTTTTTGATTTTGTTGAATTCGAGTGTTGCCGCGCGTGGTATGCGCTATGCTGGCGCAAATAATATTGTTGTACGAGAGTGCGGGTCGCGGGTCGACGAGCAACGGAGGTTGACGATGATGTGCGACGGCGGTCGGCGATTATGACGATCCGGCGGGCGATTAGAAAATATAATATTAATTTTATTGTTGACAAAAATAATACCTTATCGCGCTCTATCGGAAATAATTTCCGCACAGCGTATTTTGTATTGCAGTGAGCGATCTATAGTATTTATAATCAATGCTAATACCTATGTTTACTTAAACTTTTTAAAGATTAAATAATTTAGTTTATATAATTTTTTTTTACTAAATTTCTTACATTAAATATAAGTACTTAGTACATACAAGAAGAATAAAGTGTGGAACCAAAAAGTTAGTAGATATATTTATATGCTAGTTGGCAGATAATAATATTACTCAAATCCTAATTTATTTTGAAGTTTATTTTTGATATTTTAAGAATATAATTTACCATGAAATGCGAATTGTAATAAATTAAAATATTTTAAATTTAAGTTATTTCTAGTCACTAGGTGTATGGACATATAGTACCTACATCATGGTAGCATGACTAAATATTAATTTAGTGAATTAGGTCTAAAATAGTTCTTGTATTACTCAGTTCCATGTTTTCACTCTGAAGACTCTTACTAACTTTATTACTAGCAGATAGTAGTTCATACCAAATAACAACACTTAAAATAAAATCATAAGAAAATTCATAATTTGCCAAAGACGAACTTTCACTTTTTATCTTAGGATCCTTTGTTAACTCACTGACTTCTACTAAAGCATCGTGTACTTGGCATAATTGAAAACGAATAGGTTTAATCGATTCGACCCGAGATTCCCATCTGGTATCTGACATTGGTTTTAAAGTAAAGTCTGAAATGTATTTTAAAAGAATATTCCATCTTTCAGTAGAAGCATTGAACATTGAATAAATTCTTTGAATTACGCCGAAAAATGTCATAGCCACTGGTAGAGACGATGCCATGTCCTCGAGAAGTAAATTAAGACTGTGCGCAGTGCATGGTACAAAAAAAAAGCTCTTGGGTTCTCTGAAATAATTCKAGATTGTACTCCCTGTTTTGGACGACCCTATTTGCCCCATTATCGTATGCTTGACCACGGCAATTTTTCAGATCCAAGTTAATTAATTGTAATTGTTCTTTTATTTCCTCTGTTAAATTTGAACCAGATTTATTTGAAATGTGAATAAAGCATATAAAGTATTCATTTATTTCATATTTAAAATTTTTCGAAATTTCTACAATACGTAAAAGAAATGTAAGCTGCTCCTTATGACTTTTATCAGGTGTTCCACCTAATAAAGTCGTAAAGTATTTACTCTGTTTAACGCGATTAATTATTTCATCACGTATTTTTGTGGCAATAATACTAATAAGTTCGTTTTGAATCCTAGGTCCTAAATAATGATCATGTATTTCATCATTACATACGCCTCAAATGATCGGCCATAATAATATCAACTGTTGCAATAATTTGTATTAGTCCTAAAAATTTACCATTATTCGCTGTATATAATTTAGAACTTGTACCACGAAAAGCGTCATTATGTTCTGCTAAAAACTCTATACATGCAATAATACGTTTAAGAATACTACGCCAACGTTCTTTTTGAATATTTAAATTATCTTGTATATTATTATCTACAGTTTTATGAAGATCAAGTCCCATACGTAATTGTATCCATTTTTCTTGAGCCTTATTATGTGGAATAGATAATACATGTTCTTTTAAACGTTCACTAATCTGTTTCCAATTTAAAAAACCTATTGAAGCCAAAGATGATGTAGACTTTGACGGGAACAAACGACAATAGAGACAAAATACTCGATTAAGAGATTTAGAATACAAAAGCCAATTTCTAATCACATTTTCCCCATTAGCCATTATTCTATTATAACGAATTACGTTAAATTTTCGACCTTTATCGTTAGAGGGAAACTTATAATTTTTAATTTTTGAAGATGGGTTTTCAACTAAAAAAATTCGTAATTTATCATTAATATTTTGTGACCAGTTACCTGGATCGTCGTTGTTGTGTTCTTTTTCATGTACTTTTCTGCTCTTGATTTCTTCTTTCGGTCGTAAATCATCTGATACCAGTTGTACATTTTCATTTTGATATTCATCACTATCACTAATGCATTGAACTTCTACTTTTTCAGAATTATTAACATCGTCATTATCGCTCAATTGGAGATTCGCATTTATTTGACTTTCAATTTAAAAACTATCAACTATGGTATCATTTTGGTATTTTTTAAAAAAATTGAATAAAGAGTTTTTTTGACGTTCATTTTGATGTTCAACAGCAATCTTAAGTTTTCGTTTTACACCACCACTTTTAAATTTTCGATATTTATCGCGTAATCGACCACTCATTTTAATATTATTGTATTAGAATATTAGATACAATCAATGTCAACAGCAAACGTACACACGAAAAAGTAAAAACTACTACTAATAAAATCGGTCTATCTACTATTTGCTCAATAAATATTATTTATTATTATCAATGTTTTCCAACGGTGACAATTGACGAGCGACGGCGACGTTTTAAATCTATTATTATCTATTACTAATAACTAATAAGTAATAAAAATTCGACGAATAAGACGGTCGGTGGCTGCTGCTTGCTACCCGCATCACCACAGCAATGTGTAGCGATTACGATAATATTGTATTATTGATATTTCAATATTTTTACATTGAATCAACTTTGTTATTTTTATATAATTTTTGATATTTACTAATAAAATAAAATACACAATATACTATGAAAATAAAATTTCTACTTTTTTCAAACGCGAGGCCCCAGATTTAAACAAAAAGCGCGAGGCCCAGGGCCTGGGCCCTGCTCGCCCCACCCTAAGGACGGCCCTGACCATATACCTTATTCTAATAGATAAGCTTTCCGTATACCATAAGTACAATGTGGCGCGGTGAGACATAACACAGTGATGCAGCAACATGTTATGTCTGGTTTACCAATCTATAAGATCTCTATTATATAAATTAATATTGTATAGGTACTCTAAATCATCTAGCCACAATTATAATTCATACTATTTATCGGCTAAATAGTGTAACCAACTATAGGTACTGGTATTTCACTTTGGAGTAACATAACAATATAACAGATTGTATTTACTTTGTTAAGTATGACATTGCTTTATAAATATACTATTTTAGTATATAAAAAATAAAAATAAAACTTTTCAGATAATAGCCTCTAGAAAAAATGTCATCATTGAGGGTTACTTCCATTGACCTATCAGCCGACTATTACTATAAAAATAAAAATCACAAAAATAATTCAATGAGTGACATGTACCTAGACGAAGTTGTCTTTAACCTTTTGGGTGTACTGATTACACCCTAAACAATGCAGTATAGTAGTGATACTATACTGCAGGGATGGGCAACTGGCGGTCCGCGGGCCGCATACGGCCCGCGTACTTTTTTATCTGGCCCACGCTACATTTTCAAATTACTTCATATAAAACCTCATCCTCAAGTATCACATTAAATAATAATTGTAAATATAAATAAAGATAAAAAATAAATGTTAGTAAATTTGAAGGACCTTTTTTTTTTTGCTTTCTCCTATGCACTCTGTGGTTCGTTAGATTTTAAAGTACTTAAAAGTGGCCCGCTAGTTACTTTGAGTTGCCCATCCCTGCTATACTGCATTGTTTCATCATCAGCAGTTATAAGCTTTTTGAACAGTTATCCTTATTCATTTTGACTAAAGTTTAAATAAAATACATCATACTTTTTATCCCACCATCAAAAAAAAAATCTCTTGCCGATGAGAAATCTAATTCTCGGTTTCGTTAAGAAACCTTTGAATTAGGCCGCCTGTCTCTCTCTGTTCGTCATGTCTATGTAGTATCTTCAATCAATACATGTGCACTAGCCATGACATTTAAATTCGTATTACTTTGAGTAATAATTACGTGTGTCACATTATACTGTTTCAGCATAGACCATAATACTGAGCTGCGAATCAGGTAAGGCATTTAATATAATATTTTATATTAATTGCAATTRTTTAATCKTAGATATATTTTATATGTAATTATATTGTACAGCAACAGCATAGGTCCTTAACCTTAACGAATGTTTTTGATGTCAGTAGTCGCATTTAAATTTAACCGTACCATTCATTTTTATTATCAGTGGCACTGAACCCTATGTTTAGGTGGGGCAACCGCCCGACCTTTGAAAGTGGGTGGGTGGGTCGTACATGGTTAGGTGGTTGTGGATGGGGAAGAATATGATTGTGATGTATAAAAATAATTCATATAAGGAGAAATCAAATATAAATATTTCCGAATATCAAAAACCAATGTGAATACGCGAATTAATTAGGTGTCTCTGTGAGGGATGGGTATTAATTTTTGTACTTTGCCCTACCTATAAAAATTGAGTTTGAACCACTGTACAGCATAGGACTGTTTTTAATGCAGGAGTCACATTAATATTTAACCTATACCATTCATTTTTATTTACACTAACTCTTCCTTATTTCTTTTATTATTTTGCGATCATGATATTTATAACAATGTTTAACTTACTACAAAATTTTATTTTATTTTAATTTTAACAAGAAATAAACAATCTGTATCATTAATTATACTTGCGACACAATAAAAATATTAGATAAAAGTTTACAGGTCATGAGATTTTGTTGAAAGGAGCCATTTSATGACTCTTTCTGATGACTTCTCTTGATGATAAATTTATACATTTAATTTAATTTAAGAGATCGGAACACCTGCACTTACGCTTCAAATTTCTCGGTGGATTTCCAGGTATTGCGTGAGTGGCCAATTTTTTTATAAGTTGATTTGGGAGATTATTTAGGCGGCAATGGAATCTTTTATAAAAGATTTTTGCTTCGTTATTTATTGTTTTGAGTTTTAGTTCAGACGTGTAATGTATGATTTGAGACGTAGGGTGGAGCATTCATCAGTTTTCTAAGAGCAATATTTTGAAAGGTTTGAATTTTTGAGGTATTTGTCTTTTTCGCGTTGCCCCAAAGTTGGAAGGCCGTAGGTCTATAGTGGTTTTAATCGCGTTTTGTATATAAGAAGCTTAGTTTTAGTAGAGGTGTATTGATTATTGCATAGTAAAGGTTTAAGCAAGTGAAGACGATGATTCAATGCTAATCTTTTAGATCTGATGCGATGAGCCCTCGTTAATCTTTGATCAAGAGTAAGGCCGAGGTATTTGATTTTTGGAGATTATGGAATCGGATGGCCGTATAGAGCTACGTCAGGACAAAGTGTATGTCTGAGGGTAAAGGTTGTGTGAACTGATTTATTCTGGTTAGGTTAGGTTAGGTTTTTTTTTTACTACAAAATTAAAAAAAAAAAAAAATAATGCATATTATATATTATTATATTATATTTATAATTATGTATTATAGGTAAATGCATTTAGATAATTCTTTAAAGTTAAGGTGTGTAACAATATAATTTACCAACTTATTTATATGACGTGTTATATCAATACAATTGAATTAAAACAAAATTACGATGAGGTTGAACTTTACCTGAAAATCTAAATGAAATAAAAATTTGAAATAATTTAGTTTTTAATGTATTGTAGGACAAATTAATAGTTTAATTGTGTATATACCATACATATATAAGATACTCTATTATGTATGAGTTGTAGGGTGAGAATTTTTAATTATATATTTATTTATTTTTAGAATTTTAGAAATTTAGTAACTTTATTGAATTTAATTATGTTATTAGATATTCTATTAATTGGTATAAGCCTTACAATTCTGATATTTTTACACAATATGACCATAATTATTACCTTGAGATATACATTGTACATGTATGTTGTGTAATAATAAGTATACATTAGCTATACAGCTATACATTAATCAACTTGTTGGTTAATATTAAACATTTTATAGTATTATTATGATTTACGTATATAGTATGCATACCTATGCCTTGTACTGGTATTTTTTACCTTTATAATCTAATCAACATCACCTACAAATATATAGAATTACGTGTGGTGATAAATAAATCAATGGTAGTTTTATAATATAACTTACTAGACAAGGTTAGGTTAGGTAACCTAACATAACCAATCCAAATCCAGCCTATAATGATCACAATATTCGAAAACTTCTCTAGGATATTGTAAAACTTTTAAAAAATAAAACAAATATCAGTGTAATCGAATCAAATATATTTATTTTAAGATGAATAATTTAATTTTTGTACAGATTCATGTTTTTAGAGCATAGATTGTATTTAGGGCTCGGATGTTGTTTATGTACTAAAAACTACTGTAATATGAATGTATTTATGCACTAAAAAACTACAAACTATGCGCTAAAAATTTAAAAATATGTATTCTTAGGCAATTTATTATTTGGTTTTATTACAATCCAAAATACATTTTTAGATTCTGAGTGGAGCGAGAACGTATTAATTTTACCATTTTGTGTGTTTTATTTTTAATTTTTTAATTTTTTTTGTGTCTGTCATCACGTTTTGCGGCAGTAAAAGTGCTTCAATTTTTGACTTCAGTACCTCGTTCGATCAGAAAGTGAATCTAGGGGGGGGGGGTCAAAAGTAAAAAATACTCAATATTTTTCTTAATAATTGGGATAAACAAACTAAAAATTAAGGAAAAAACGTGAATTTTTACATACAATCAATTTTTGACAAAATCGTTTTTGGTTTTTAATGTAACTTTTAAAAAAAACTACCATAGATGCATGAAATTTTCACCAAATGTTTATAAAAGTATATTCTATCCATTTTATGTAGCAATTTTCAAAAAATTTCGACTTAAATTGAACTATTCATATATGCAATTTTCGATCATTATTAGTTTTTTTAAAATTAATATCGATAAAAAATTGAATACAAGTTTCCTAACATATTGTTACAATAGCAGTTGAAAAATAAAATA